AATTGCATGCATGCAGGCAAAACACTAATACATGTAAAATAAAAATAAATGTTTTAAGAAAGGTTTGTACGCAGGCATACAATTAATCAACATTATTTCCAAGTACAGGTAATGTTTGTCCTCTAAAATATTCGATGGTATGTAAACAAACGCTGAAATCATTAAAAACCAGGCTATGCCTAGGATGGTATACAAGTCAAGAAAATGTAGGCCTCAGCTAAACAGAACTGTGAACCGACTTATAGTTGTACTGTAGTCACATTACGCCCAGCCATCACAGTGATGCCTGGGTGGCCAAAGCCCTGAGATAAAGCATGGAAACTCAGAGCTAGCCTTCTCATGAGGGGCTCAAAATACACCAGCAACCTCACTCAGTGCCACCAAAAGGAATGAGAACCGTCTGAAGGCCACTGATCTGTTAACCCTCACAATGAAGGCTGACGCCACCACTTTCAGGAGTGTCCTCTGTGAATGGACATTACACTGAAAAGGCCAAAGTCAAAGTAGCTGACTTCCTTGATCACCAGGGCTCAAGCAAAGCTCTGCTGTGTTCAGTTCTCAGTACTGCCTTCTAATACCTCTAGGTCTTCAGCATTATCGGGATTCCTTTTGTGTCTATTTCCATCATCAGCTGAGAGACTGTGTGTATGCACCAGGGCCTGGTTACCTTTTGAAATCAACAAAGTCTAACCCAAGTCCCTCAATTTGTAGATATATGCAAAAATGACTGATGAGCTTGTACACTGCAGTATCATCGCATAGGAAGGCTTTCCTTTCACTGTGAGTTGTGGTGTTTACAGCACCACTCAATGGTGTTTCAATGGACACCTCGGCCTCAGCTAGGCCCTCTGTCCCTGAAGTCCTGGCTGTTGTTCTTCCTTCAATTGGGATGAAGCTCCAATTTGTGCTTCTGGTATTTTTTCTGGCACAACTAGAAGGAATCCCTTCCTCCTTCCCTTCCCAGGCCCAACACAGCAGCTGTCTGACCAACCTGCTGGTGTTTCTGCCAAGTTCACAGCAAGTATGCCCAGTCCAGCAGAGCTGTGTTAGAGCTAACAACAAGGCACAATGGCCATGAGCCAGGCCCTTGCTATTAGGAAGCCTCAATTGTCACATAATGTTCAATTTCAATGGGCCTTATAAAAGCCTGGTGAAATAGCTCCCATGGTAGATATGCCTTCTAAGAAGCAGGCCTTGCTGCTTAATCATTTTTCACCTGTGCAATCTTGCTTCCTCCTTAAGGTAAACCCCTTAAGAGTGGTACAGGAACATCTTTTTGTAAGCCCCTGCAGACCGAGTCCAAAATGCAGTACGTTTTCAGTTATTATTTCTCCATCTAAAAGGCACCACATCGGGACTGGAGAGATGGTTCAGTGATCAGGAGCACTGGCTCCTCTTGCAGAGGACTGGGGCTCGGTTCCTAGCACCTATTTGGTGGCTAACAAGTCTGTAACTCCAGTTCCAGGGGATCCAACGCCCTCTTCTGGCCTCTGTGGGCACTGCACTTACATATACACAGGGAAAACACTCATATACATACAATTAAAAAAGATAAATGCATTTTTTAAAACTACCACATCCATAAACATTTCTCAGTCGAAGCTTCATAGTAGCAAGTGCTTTTAAGCATTCTATTGCCATTACATCCACAGAGCAGATCTCCAGGAAGAATCACTGTCACCAATTTTACAAATGAAATCATTCAGCCTGCAAGTGGCAATACTTGAACCCAGGTCTCCAGATACATAACATGGGGCTCTTTCGACTGCATATGATACCATTCAACCAAAACCTATTGCATGAATGAATAAGCAAAAACAAGTCTCCCCAGATACCATCCTTTCTGCTCCTAAGACCACGGAAGACAGCTTCAGTTCAGTGGACTTCTGAGGAGACACCGGGTTTCTGACTTCTACCCAGGCTCCTTGTCTGCTGCCGGGGGTGG